CGGAAAGGAAAGAACAGGAACACGGCAATACATTTACCTTACTCCACAGACACAGCAATTGGTTCTTGTGAATGTGAGTTCACAGCCTGCAAAAGTTCCAGCTCATCCCTAATTTTTTTAGTTTGCATTGCATGCTGCCCAGTTGCTGTTATTTTTGTTCATTTTGATAAATGCAGGGCATAATTCTGCAGAATACACCTTCTTATCTCCGCATAGAGATGTGTCTACAGAAATGACAGGACATCCATACGACCTCATCGCTTAGGAACGTGGCTTTATCAAAACAAGCCCTAGCTTCATGTTCATAAGGATGCAATCAATAACTGTCTGAGTATTATGGATTGTTTTTCCTCTTCCCATCTAAAACTGACTGAACGTGTTAGTACATTTTACAAATTAAAGACTCTGCATGCACGAGGAAGGGACTCTCAGCTCTGCATGGCAGGATGGCTAAATGCAGAAATTCTCTGTCCTGATGGTTTAACAGATCTCGGTTCTACTCTCCTGCGGTCAGTGTTCCCTCTAAGCTGAGTTAGTGTGAGCTAGCTCACAGTTTTTTAGCCTCCAGCTCACAGATTTTTGTCTTAGCTCAGGAAGGATGGCTCCAGAGCAAACTGATTTATGCAGCAGCCAAACCACTCACTCACAACTTTAATGCCAGTAGCTCACAAGGCACATTTTTGTTCACAAGACTCCACAGCTTAGAGGGAACCTTGCCTGCGGTGTATTTTTGCTGTATCTAACACCAGCCCATCTTCACAAGTCTTAGGTGAGATGTCCTGAGCCACCAAAAATTCAGGGTATCTGCCTCCTGGGTGTCAAAGCAGCTTTCCCTCCCAGTGCAGCAATGCCCACGCAAGCCCATTTCCTTGCTCCAGAGCAAGAGAGCGAAGTCTCTCTAAATGCAGGGAGCCCAGGTTCCAAGTCAATGTCTTCTTTCTACAGCACAGCAACGTACAGCACTGAGATCAAAAGCTGACCATTAGTAGCACAGCTGAACTTTCATAATCCATTTTCCACTCAAGTGACACTGTGTAGATTAGTGGTACGCATTCCACAGCTTGCAGAGGGCTACATTCCCAATTACCATCAGTCCAAAGAGCCACGTGACTATTGTATGTAAGTCAGACTTAACTGTACACAGCAGAGCACAGTCTTTCAAGTTCTCCAGAAATCTTTCTGAGGCCAGATGTTAAAAGATAAATGCTTCCATGTGTTAAAAGTGCCCTTCAGCTTTGGACTCTAGCAGGGCAACAGACAGGGTGGTTAGAACCGCCCTCTATGCTAAGCGGGAACACCTGTCAGCCCCAAGCCTCACGGTGCCACGTTGGAGAATGGAGCTCAGGAGAACTGTAGGTGGCATGCTAGAGAGCCAAATATGGCTCCCGAGATAATTTATATTGGGTTCCCCGACGTGGTGCCTGTGGGCACCATGTCACCTTTCCTGGTATCTGCCAAGTGTCTTTAGAAAACGGGCAGGGCCAGGTGGGGCTTTTGCTCATCAAGTCTTCTGATTGGCCACTGGAGATCCGATTGGCTGTGCGGATCTTTTAAAAATGTTGCTTTGGCATCAGCTGCCACTGTAGCGCAAGGATCTTCCACTGTGTGACTGAACGGAAGCTGGGGACACCGTTTCGTTGCTGGCTCCACTTCTGGCAGCGGCCATTTTGTGGCTGTGCCCCCCCCCACTCTGCCAGAATTCCAAAGGTGTCTGCAGGCTCAAAGGGCTTAAAGGTTCCCTTGCTCGAAAGCCAGTTGAATCTGACTCTAGGGTTGTGGGGCTCATTTCCGTTTCCAAGCCGAAGAGCCAGCGCTGTCCGAAGACGCTTCCGTGGTCATGTGGCCGGCATGACTAAATGCCGAGGCGCACAGAACGCTGTTACCTTCCCACTGAAGCAGTACCTATTTATCTACTTGCAATTTCTTGCTTTTGAACTGGCTACGTTGGCAGGAGCTGGGGCCAGAGACAGGAGCTCACTCCGTCACGCTGCACTAGGGGCTCAAACTGCCGAACTACCGACCTTCTGGTCTGCAGCTCAGCCACTTTAACCTGAGCCACCACGGCCCCATTTCAAAGGGCTTGGGGACCCCTAATTTATATTATTGACAGCCACTCATTTGCAGAAATTTGTTTATCTGTAAGAGGTTACTGAGCAGGAAGAGACAAGTCATATATATGTGTGTGTGCGCGCGCGCCCGTGTGTGTAATCTTATTTGAATGCCCCGCACTGCATTCTGAGGAACAGCCTGTATTATCCTGCCTCTTCAGACTCACATTCCCACAAAACAGTTATGGCCGCATTTATTATTTTCACTTGGTTGCCTGTACAATACCATTTACAGAGTGACAGGAGAAGAGCTAATTGCAAACAGAGGCAGCGGCTTAGCTGGTCAGTTTCATGGATGGCGTGGTTTCTGGTGGTCACTTTCACTGCCGCTGTCAACTGGACTTCACTTTACATTTTACAGACGATTCAGCAGCTTCACTGCATGGGCGCAGTGGGAAAAGTAAAGCTTTTCTAGACCACTCCTCCCCCCATGCAAAGGGATATGTATCTGACTGCCCTTTGTACATGCTTAGAACGCACTGCCAGTTGCTATTTACTAGCATGCATGCAACCAACTACTTTGAAGGAAATACTTCTTTACACAGAGAGTGATTAAAATGTGGAACTTGCTGGCAGAGGATGTACTGATAGCCACAGGCATAGACAGCTTTAAAAGGGGATTAGATAGATTCATGGAGGATAGGTCTATCAGTGGCTACTAGCCATGGAGACTGAAGGGAACCTCCACATTCAGAGGCAGTCAACCTCAGAATCCCAAAGCCAGGAGGCAACATCAGGGGAAGGTCTCTATGCCCTATTGCTGGACCTCCAGAGGAACTGGTTGGCTACTGTGTGGGACAGGATGCTGGACTAGATGGACCAGTGGTCTGATCCAGCTGGCCTCTTCTTATGTTCATTATGAAGGCTGTAAATAGGTATTAACAAGGGGGGCATCACTGCCATCAGCCTCACTTCTCCACCTTAATATCTGATTAAAAATATGCTCGATGGCATTACAGCCAGTGTTTTCCCCACCACCATTCCAATTCATTGGCTGCTGCATCTAGGGGGTAGAGAAAATGCCATGTCCCATAACACGTTTCTTTACTAGCCGTTCCTGGGGAGTTTTGGGCTGGTGACAGCTACACATTCCCCCAGTAACATCTAATTAGGCCCTTTGAGAGGCACTCATTATCATCAAGAAGGCGGATTTTTTTTTTTTTAAAGAGGCTTTGCTTGCTTAAGATAGGGATGCTTAATACTTGGCATTTCTATAGCACTGTCAGTGTTTAGATTAAAGGACTGCACATACAGTATCCTTTCAATGACCCTATAAGTTAGGTCAGTATTATTATACCTATGCTGCAGCCTGGAATTGAAGCTTGGCCTGCCAAATGAGGTAGCACAAGGGCGAGTGCACAAACTGAACTGGATTACTTCAGACCGCAGGTGAGCGATTACACTGTCCAACGTTCCCCTTCGTTCGGAGTTTCTTGTAGGTTGAAAACTGCCACAGTATGCAAGGATCCAGGCCAGGGGTCCTCAATGTGGTGCCCGTGGGTGTCATGCTGCCCGCCAACACCTTTTGTGGTGCCCACCAAGTGTTTTTAGAAAGTGGGCCAGGGGTCACATGGGGCTGTTGCTCAGCAAGGTTTCTGATGGGCCATGGGAGATGTGATTGGCCATACAGATTTTTTAAAAACTTTGCTTTTGGCAGCAGCTGCTACTACAGCCCAAGGATCTTTACTGTGTGACTGAAGGTAAGCCGTGGCAGCCATTTTGTGGCTGGCTCTGCCTCCTGAGGCAGCTATCTTGGGCAACCATTTTATGGATGCCCCCACCATACTGTGAAGAACTAGGGGAGGAAAAACCGTCTGGCCCTGCTGGGCCCTAGAGAAGCCAGGCTGGCTGTGACGAGGGCCAGGGCCTTTTCAGTGGGGAGTCCGCACTAGTGAAATGAGCTCCTGGAAGAGATCAGGGCCCTGCGGGACCTTTTACAGTTTTGCAGGGCCTACAAGACGGAGCTCTTCCACCAGGCCTTTGACTAGGGAGCCGCCCCAATAAATTGAGGCCCTGGCTCCAATATTAACATCATCATTTATTTGTGCTGTTTTTCTAGAACCTCTTCATCAGAGTCAAGTAGGGCAATCTGATGACTATAAGATCATTTCATTATCATCTTCCCATAATCCTGAGACCATAGAATCTGTAGCTAAATTTCTCTGTTGTGCTATTAAGAGGAGAAGACTGTTTCAGCTGCAACGGTAAAGGACGTATCCTTGTCTCCCTGCTGTATGTTCTGTCGATATGCCAATAAAGGTTCTGATTGATTGACATAATCATTAATATGTTAATGTTAGACACTGCTAATGCCCACCATCGTTCACGGACAGCACTAGAACTTTACGCTGCGTTTTATAATTATACTGTTGTGGTTTTAGCTAATCCTGTGTTTTAGTTCTCTAACATATTTTATGTAAGCCACCCTGAGCCTGCCTCGGCAGGGAGGGCAGGATACAACTCAAATCAAATCAATCAATCAATTGTATCAGGGGTTGGGGGCGCCTGGACTAGACTATGACCCTTCCCACAATGTACTTAACAAAAAACACACACCCTTCAGAGAGTTTTTCTATGAGTAGCATTATAAAAACCCGACTCACTCCCCCAGCAATCTGAAGTGGTACGACCCATTCTATCACCTCAGGGACCTTTCTGCTTCATTCTGCCACCTGCCTGGACCAGGCCTGAGAGACAGTGTCTTGCCCTAAGGCCACCTGTTAAATTCATAGCAGAGGCAAGATTTGAACCAGAAATCTTCCTGGACTGCGGCGTTTTTCGCCGCTCTGTTAGACGTTATCTCATTTGAACATGGTGTTGATGCATTCCAATCATTCTATTCCTGACAAAGAACAAAAAATAAAATCGAACGAAACCATAATAAATCTGTACCTTCGGCTGAAAGGCTCCCTGAAGAGACCCGAAGGGACCTGAATGCGGAAGCATTGGTGGCATTCCGGGCATGGCTGGAGGGTAGCTTGGAAAGAACTGGGGGGGGGGAGAGAAGAAGGGGGGGGGAGTGCTTACATTACAGATAAATAATAAATGTGTGAGCAAAGTTTGTCCCAACTGTACAAACTTTTAATTAAAAGAAGAAGAAACAGCAGCCTTCCCCAAATTAAATTTCAAGACTTTTGCTTTGGAATAATAATAAACAAAAAGACAAGATGAGGAAGCCAGCCGAAATCTCATGATATATTTAACAGCTTTTTTTTTTTTTTAACAAGATGCTCTCCTTAAAAATCTAGGGAGTTGTTTCAGAGCGGTGTAACCCGTCGCCGCCTTCTCTCCTGAATTAAATTCACAGATGTTTTGATCGGTGGCTCCGCATCCCATTTCAAAAGGGGGATGTTCTGTGGAAGATACAGGTTGTTGTCGGTTGTCGGCTCTGGAAACCTATTTTGCTGCCAATAAAGGTGTGGTTTTAAAGAGCAAGCTATCCACTCCCCAGACTGCACTGAACTGAATGTGATATGTGGGGTGTGAATGCACTTTCAGGCCTTACTGCTGTCTGGCTACAAAAGCATTCCTTGGATTCCCATTGCTAGCAACAGGTATTTAAGGACAGGGCCACAATGATGGTTACGTGATCGTCTGGTGATTGTGGCATGATGTCTGATGACAGGACCTTCCTTATTACGACAGCATCACAAGGTAACCTGGCATATCCCTGGAGCTCAGCATAGCTGGGCTTAGGGCTGCCAAGCTGCGGCGGGGGATCTGCACGACTTCACAGGATCCCTGCCGCGGGGGACAGCGATACGTGTTGCACTGCCGTCGCCAGGATGTGATGCTACGCGTCGCTCTGGCAACGGGACTCCAAACAGCCCCGTTGCCAGAGCGAAGCGTAACGTCACATCCTGGCGACGGCGGTGCAACGAGTATGGCTGTCCCCCGCGGCAGGGATCCTGTGAAGACGTGCGGATCCCCCGCCGCAGCTTGGCAGCCCTAGCTGGGCTGGTGGCATTGTGATAGGAACACCCAAGCCTGGCA